CTTAAGTATTTTGATTATAGTTATATTAAGTTTCACAAACATAAAAACAGAAAATAACTATAATTATTTTTAAATACCATAACACTATATAATTTAAAGAGGTAGATATATTATATTTTAATAGTTAAAATTATTTGTTTTCTTAATAAATCTTTTGATTTTTAATTTTCTGTTTTTATGTTTGTGAAACTTAATATAACCATGATCAAAATACTTAAGCAAATCAGAATCCTTATTCATAAATTATTTAAAAATAAATTTCAGTTTACCATCCAATCAATCTAAAGCATAAATTTATTTAGAATTTATAAAATATTTTAATTATTGTAAATATTGATATGTGTTCAAAAGCTTCTAAAAATTCATTAGTTACTTATGTATATAATTTAGAATCAGACACTTTAGTTTTTATTTGTTTTCCTTCTAACAACAAAAAAATCTTAAGTTATATATAATCTTACTAAATATACTTATATTTCTAAAATAACAACCAGCATAAATGAAAATAAGACAATTAATCAAAATTTTTATATATTTAAAATATAAAAGATTATTGTTGAATTCAGTGAAATAGATAAAATCCAATATATCTAAATGATAACTAAATCGACCGTAAAAACAATAAAATAGACTAAATATAAGATATCTAAAATTATATATATAATTAAAGTAATAGAATATTATAATATAAATTAGACATACAAACTATAAATTAATTAAAAATTAAAGTAAATATCAATCAATTATTATTTTTTTATTTTATAAATATATATGCCCGTGCATGAGCACGGGAAAATCACCTAGTATATATATATATATATATATATATATCTATATATCATTCGTTTCTTATTGAAACTGAGACCCTACCTTAGGGTTTCGTCTTAAAGTTTGATACGAAAAGGTTGAAATTGACGGGTCTATCATTGAAATCTAGACAAGATCCTCTGCATGCGCAGCAAATGATTTCTCGGTGGAGATTTTCTAAATATACTTAAGTCTTTTTTTTTGAGCAACATACTTTAAGTCTTTAACATTAAAAAATATATTGGTCGTTGAAAGTGGATGTGTTATATACTTATATGTCATATCAGACTTGTGGAATTAGACCATTATTAAATCTAAACATACGTGCAAATGAATTTTTAGAACGACCAAGAATAGGTGGATATTCTTAGGCAAAGTGGATGTAGCATTATCAGACATTTTCACCAAAAAATATCTGAAAAAGCGTTTCTTTTTACTAATTCTAACCAACCTATGATTCTCTTGATGAGAGCTCCACAATACCAACCTATCAAGTCCCAATTTTTCTGCATTATCAAGTTTCAGATAACATAACCATATAAATTACTCCATTCTGTCAATATTATCTACAAAAACCAGATGCAACTAAACTAAACTAAATTTCAAGAAATATTTTTGAGAAATGACTAAAAGATGGATTTGATTTGAGGTTTGAATATAAGAAACAGAGGAGACTAAAGGCAAAAGCCATAATCTCTTGTGAGTTTGTGTTGGGTCAATCGGGTTTGGCCCAAACATCAAGTCTGTTCCCACCGGGTTGGTAGTAACCATTTTAACCGGATCGGTTCGGTTTAGTCTATTACCTATAATATTCTCGAATCCCGAGTATGCTTGAAATCCACATTATTTGGCCAACCGCTAATAAGTCCTGTTTGCTATTTTTTTTCCAAAGATGCCATCAAATTATCCAAGTCATTGATTCCATAAATCTAAACTTAGTATTAGATTCATTTCATTATATAGAGAACAGTTCAAGAAATTAAAAAACAACTTCTCATCAGTATATATATATCATCATCAATCATGAACTTTTTTTTTTCTTGTGCTTATGTTGTATCACCATCTTGGCAACAAGTTTATAAGTCTGAATGTAGTTTCAGGCACACGAAATGGCTGTGAACGCGCCAAACACGGTTAAAGATATAGAGCCATAAATAGCTAACAGATTCATAAGGTTCATTCTAAAGCTAGAGAATAATTCTCCTATAAGAGAAAAGCTAAGATCATTCTTTGAGAAACTAAAGGATCTCTTGAAGTTGGAGTCCACCGGTGATCGAAGACAAAGCCCAAAACGTTCATGTCCCATATGAAATCGAAAGCGGATAATCTCCTCCAAACGATGTTGATGCTTGGGCAAGGACTGGTGAGTTCCAGTGAAAGAAAAAAGCGCATCCTTTTGAATGACTCGAATACTGTTTTAATTGATTGTGAGTGTTAATCTACAACTGACTGCTTTTAAGTTATTTTAATAGCTGTTTTCGAATTCAGAAATAATGTTTTAATATTAAAATTATATTGAACATAAACTATGATCAGTCGCATTGACGTTATAAAATATAGAACTTATGGACAAGAAGCATCTAAAATCTAATGGACAATGGGACGAGCTCTACACATAGCTGTCAACGGCCTGGCTCTGCGCATCGTAGTTCCTTTCTCAGCTTCTGTCATGTCCACGTACTCTTCTCCAGCTCTCTCCCATTCAAAGCACTGGACCAACGAACCCAAAGCCAAAGTCACAAGCCGCTGAGCTAGTCCTGATCCAGGACAAGCTCGTCGTCCCATCCCAAAAGACAACATCTTTTTATCCTCAACTTCTTTCTCAAATCTCTCTGGCTTGAACTTCTCTGGATGTTCCCACATTTTTGGGTCTCTATGAATGGCCCATGCGTTCACCAATACCATCGTGCCACGAGGGACGTCATACCCTGCCACCATGCAATCTTCTGATGCCATGTGAGGGAGAAGCATTGGAACCACAGGATAAAGCCTTAATGTCTCTGACATAATGTTCTGTATATAAGGAAGTTTCACAATGTCTTGTTCTTTTATTAACCGGTCTAAACCAACTTGCTCGTCGATCTCGGTCCTAGCCTTTTGTAATACTTCTGGATGGTTCAACAAGTTGGCCATAGCCCACTCTAACGTTCCTCCTGATGTATCAGTCCCAGCAATTATCATAACCTATAAAAATTAAAACCTAGTTAAATAAAAACACAATGAACGCTTAATAGATTGTTACTATATTTTGTTATTTTTTTTACCCAAACGTCTATTTTATTAACTCTAACAACCAGTAAAAATTAATGGAATATGAAAGAATCTGTCTATATCTAAACGGTCTGCTGTGAGTATGATTTTGATATCTTATTACTTACGAGTATGATTCCTTTGATGATAACATCTGTGTAGTAATCAGGTTGAGTTTCTTGGAGAGAAAGCAAGTGATCGATCATAGTGTTACCCTTTTCTTTCTCCGCACGTTTCTCGTCCACTAGACTCTGTAGAAACCCGTCAACCCTACCCGCTAGCTCTTTCACTTGCTTCTCGTAACTCGTTATCCAACGAAGGATCGGGAAATAGTCTGCCACGTTTCCAGCGCCGCCACTAACAGCCACCTCTGCTATCAACTGCCTCACGTGCCTTGCCTCATCGTCATCCTCTGTTCCATCGCCGTAAAAACGCTTTCCGGCCACCATCCTTAGTATGTTGTTGATAGTCAAGTCCATAAACAATGGTCTCATCTCCACCTTGGCATATTCCTCAATTCCAAAATGTTAAATTCAAATGATTAATAATTTTAAAAATATCATCTACTCTATTAAAATAGAGTCATTATTTTTATTTACTGATACAAGTTGTCATTTAAATTTGGACTCTTTCTAAAATGTTACAAATAATATAAATCATATAATTGATTGAACCGTATTAATTAAATTAAACCAACACAATTAATGTAAAGACACGACCTTAATGTAAACTACCTTCAAAATACGGCAGGTATCTATGTGTATACCAAAAACACATATTTTCTCCTACAAATATGAAATGTTCTAGAAGAATATATATCATCAAAATATGGAAATCTACTAATTATACTTAAATTAAACGAGAGGTTATTTATGGAATATAGTCTTGGGCTTACTTTTATTTTCTGAACAAATTATATAGTTTGGTTTTTGGGCTTAGTATTAAGAAAAAAACTCCAAAAACATTGAATAAACTTTTCACCTTGAAAACTCAAAAAATCAATTATTATTTTCAGACTCAAAAATTATTTAATATTTATGCAAAACAAAATTATCTATTATTAATCATTTATTTAAATCATGTACTTTAAAACATGTTAATATATTTTTTATTTTAAATAACAATCACTTTGTTTTGATAAATTTCAATGGTAACTTTTAAATAATTTATTGTTTTATTTTTCTTAAATAATTTACTGATTAAAAAAATGTAAAGCAAAACCGAAAACCAAATCTAAAAACTAAAATCCAGAACCAAAAGCTGAAAACACATGTTATTTTTTTTTTATTTGTTTATTTAGAAAATAAACTAATTCAATTTTTTTTTAAAAAAATTGTTATCATATTTTCAGTTTTAAATTAGATGTTCGATTATTTGAGATTTGTTTGTTGGTAATATTAGTTCAAACTAACTCAGCGGGTTTAAAAATTAAAAACCCAAACCAAAAACTGAAAATGAAAAGTAGAAACTTAAAAACTAAAAAGCAAAAACCAAAATCTAAAAATAAAACTGAAACTAAAAACTAATGAAAAACAATCATCACCACAAATTTTGGTGAAATGATTTTATATCAAAATATTCTTTAAATTAAGACAAATCTAATTATATAAATTTTTAATCATAGAAAATTTTCGCGCTTTCAAACGCGGGTTAAAATCTAGTTGGTATATTAAACTAAATTACTCGGTTACGTAAATATAGTAATAGACGTTATCCGTGTAATTGTTAGTATAATTATTCCTTTTTTTGAACAACAGATTAGTCTAATTATTCATAATTTAGATAAAAATCATATGGGGAAACATTCTGTCCGATTCAGTAAAACAAAAAAAAAAATTTGTCCGAGCTTTGTTTTTGTTGTAGAGTAAAAAATGTCTATTTGTTGTTTATATTTTGCAGAAACTATATTTCTAAACCTTAGGTTAATGTTAAATGGCACATACTTGTTGAGAGTTTTTCGATAGAGATAATATCAGCCGTCGGATCTCGTCTTTGCGGACGGATACGAAGCTGTTGAGTCTAAGAGACGAGAAGATCTCAATGGTGCCAATACGACGAAGGTTCCGCCAGCTGTCGCCATAAGACGAACCAACCATGGTGGTTGAGTTGTATCCGATATACTTTCCAACGATAAACTCAGGCCTGTTAGCTAACACCACGTCGTTTTTGGTGAAGCATTCCTCGGCGATGGAGTGAGAAGAGACAACGAAAACGAGACGTGTGCCGAGGCGGAGGGAGAAAATGGAAGCCCCCTCTAGTGATTTTGAGAGTGAGAGAAACGTACGGTGTAGCGGCAGCTTTAGGAGGTGGAGGTGTCCGATAACCGGAAATGGCCGAGTTGGACTCGGCGGTAGGTTTAGTTTGCGCCGCCGTGTTCCGAACAAGAATGTTAGAGAGATGAAGAGGAAGACGAGAGAGAGGATCAGGTAGAGAGTTTCCATTATTGAGTTAGCTTTCTATACTTGCTAAGTTTATTACAAAACATAAGTGCTTTTACGAAGGTTATATAGTGTCACAGTGACAAATGAAATAAAATATTTTACATCAACTAGTTGCATTGAATTCATAATTATCTTTTAATTTTGCACGAAAGTAAAAGAAGAATGAAGTGGATAAGGGTTTTTGTTACGTCACTGCCTACTATATATTGATTGTCTCGATCAACATGGGAGAAGGAGACGGGAGAAGCTAGCTGATATCTTATAAAGCTCATGTGATGTGGTCGTAGCATATGCACATGACATGACACGTGCTAACTATCATGTGATGTGTTTGACGTCATTGCATTTGTCACAACATAGTGTTTTATTTTTTTGTTCAACTCATAGTGTTTCTTTTCTCAGTTTTAAAATAGTCGACTACACACCCATCTAAACGACAAATCAGTCATAGATAAAACTAGGTCTAGTATTCGGGATCCCAATCGGATATGATTTTGTCCAATTAGATCTTGGATTTTTGGGTTTATCAGAATCAGTCCTATTTAAATTATATGAAAATTTGGTTCAGAACTGGTTTAGATTCTATCGGATTCGGATTGGATTAGTGAATCTCCAAAGAATCGGTACAACCCCGCTCAGATTCTAATCGATTCTTCAATTTAAAAGTACCTGATTTGTACATCATTTGTAACCAAAACATAACTTAAATCGATAATATAAGAAATAAACATCAAACGTGATCATTCAAAATCAAATGAAAAGTAAACATAATTATTGATATAAAAAACTAATCAGCTAATCAGTTTTAAGAAAAAAACTAAACCATATAACTCTTATATTTGCTTAGTTCTACTAAAAACTAATCAGATACATCAGAATAATTGGGTTACTGTGTAGTTATTAGACTATACTAAGGTAACCTTACAATATATATACAAGTTTATCTATATTGTCCCCGTTTTCAATAAATTTTTAGTTTTGCCTTTTCTCGTCCCCGCTTCTACTATACCCATATATGTCCCCGTTTTGATGAAAGATGGAGTTTATGGACAAGAAGAAGCATATACAATCTAATCAACAATGGGACGAGCTCTACACATTGCTTGCAACTACGTAGCTCTGCCCATGGTGATTCCCTTTTCAGTTTCCCTCATGTCCACATATTCTTTTCCGGTTATCTCCCACTCGAAACATTGAACAAACAAATCCAAAGCCAGTGTTACTAGCTGCTGAGCTAGCCCTAATCCAGGACAAACTCGTCGTCCGATTCCAAATGACATCAGCTTTTTATCCTCCCCTTCCTTCTCAAACCTCTCTAGCTTGAACTTCTCCGACTCTTCCCACAATTTTGGGTCTCTGTGTATGGCCCATACGTTCACCAACAAGATTGTGCCTCTTAGGACATCATACCCTGCACCATGCAATCTTCTGACGCCATGTGAGGGAGAAGCATTGGAGCCACATAATATAGTTGTAATGTCTCTGACACTATGCTTTGGAGATAAGGAAGCTTCATGATGTCTTGTTCCTTTATTAACCAGTCTAAACCAATTTTCTCGTCGATTTCGGTCTTTAGCTTTTTTTAATAATTCTGGATGGTTTAAAAAATTGAACATAGCCCATTCTAACGTTGCTGCTGATGTATCAGTCCTGGCAAGTATCATAACCTATCAAAAATTAAAATTACTTAAAAACAAAAATAAAGTTAGTTAAATGTTAATATTTCTGATATCTCGTTACTTACAAGTTACAACTATGATTTCTTTGATAATAACATCAGTATAGTACTCAGGCTGAGTTTCTTGGAGAGAAAGCAAGCGATCGATCATGGTGTGACCCTTTTCTTTCTCTGCACGCTTCTCATCCACTAGACTTTGCAAAAACTCGTCAACCCGACCGCCTAGCTTCTTGACCCGTTTCTCATAATCCGTTATCCAACAAAGGATCGGGAAATAGTCAGCAGCGTTCCCTGCACCGTTGCTAGTAACCACCTCTGCCATCAAGTCCCTAACGTGTTTTGACTCATTGGCCTCTGTTCCATCGCCGTAATATCTCTTCCGGCCAACATTCTAATGATGTTGTTGATGGTCAAATTCATAAACAATGATCCCATCTCCACTTTCTCAGGCTCCTGAAATCCGATTATTAAACCAAATGGTCACGTTTCATAGTTCATTTTCTTATTGGTATATAGCAATGGGTGATTTATAGATGGTCTAGCTCTTTGTTTATATTTGCATTTGCTTTAACTCATTTTATTTTGGAACAAATTCCACTTTTTTCAAAACAGACAAATTTAAAACATGCACAACAAACATGGCCGGTTGACGTTAACAAGTTCATCTGCTTCACAAAATAATGTGGTTAGTATTACTTCATCTATGTAAATAAAAGAAGGATTTTCTAGACTATTAATACTACATATTAAAAATATAATAAATGTGTATACTTAAATTTATTATTGTATAACGTGAAAAAATGAATGTCGAAAAAAATGCACCGACATAACATTGTGAAGAAAATTATGTGGAACCCATGTATCATCATTATACATGCACAGAAAATTATGTGGAACCCATTTATCATCATTACATGCACAATAAGACTGACTTTAACCGGTGACGAAAAGAATGAATGGCACAAGTGGTTGACAAAAAAAATGAATGGCACAAATTAATTTCTCTTCATTATTTAAATTTGATACCATTTATATGAAATTATAATAATTAATTCTTTTTCATTCTTTAAATTTGATACCATTCATAAAAAATATTTGTTCCTTCAATATTCGTTCTCAATTTTTTTTTAAGTTAAGGAATCAAAAAGAAAACTATTGTACTTATTAAATCCAGGAGGAACAACAAATAATACATATTCCTATTATTTTTTTTTCTTTATTTTTATTTTTCGTTTTTGTTGATCACCAGTTATATTTTTTCCTTCTAAATAAACGAAAGAATTAGTTCATTGTAACAGACACCTTTTCCTCTCATCTTATAATACGTTCTCTCCCACATTTTTTAATTCAATACTCTATTTTCTTGGTATAGGATTTATCTTATTTAATTTTTTCGATATAATATAATTAAAAGTATTTTTAACGTCATTAGTACAATCTCACATTTGATACAATAAAGTTTATATGTATTATATTTACCATGTTATAATGACTGGTATACCACCAATATTATTGCTTAGCATTATATTACCACACAACTCTTGGCTTTTATTAACGTGAACGATTTTTCGCCTTGTTAAGATAATTGGTTACTAAATACACCATTTATCTTATATATTAAAACAGAAGTCATGACTTGACTTCATGTGTGATTTTTTTAAAAATGGACTATTACTAAAAAGTTATGTTACATTAACTCTGTAATAATCTTATCATTATTATATTTTATGAAAAATCATATCTATAATAACAAATATACACTTAAAAATTTGGTTTTGGTAAATTGCCCCACACCTTCCAACTTA